ACCTTCCGGTCTACAGTTCAGCATCTTAACCACTTGAGCCACCGCAGCCCCCACACATACACAAACACACATGCAAAAATACAAAAAAAAACCCCGAAATGCTTGGGACAAACAACTGTGAAGAGCTTCTGCCCAGAAGCAAAATGCTGAGACTTGGTCCGATCCTGCAAAGTAGCGCTTGAAATTTCTTTCTACACATCCTCAATGAAGCTGAACAACTGGGCTTGTCTGAGTCTCAGTAAGGATATGCGCAATGCAACTGACAACAATCTGGCCATTTCAGGAATGAAGGAGGTGGGCAGGGCTTTTGCTGGAGCACTTGTTTTGGATTCAAGCAGCCAAGGGGATGGGGCAATGTGGTTGCCAAGTTGGCAACTTTGCATTGTAAATTCTGTAAGATGGCAACCTTGTGTTGTAGTTCTATAAACTGGTAACCTTATTGTGTAGTTTCTGTAAATTGGCTACTTTGTTTTGTTATATGAGTAAGTTGGCAACCTTGCATTGTAATATTTGTAAGTTGGCAACTTTGAATTATAATTCCTGCAAGTGGGCAACTTTATATTATAATTTCTGTAAATTGGCAATCTTACTTCGCTATTCCCGTAAGTTGGCAACCTTGTTGCAAAATTTCTGTGAGTTGGCAGCCTTGTATTGTAATTGTAATTCCTGCAAGTTGACAATCTGGTATTGTAATTCTTGTAAATTGACAACCTTGGTGGTTGGCAAACATGCATTGTAATTTTTGCAAGCAACCTTATACTGTATTCTTATAAGTTGGCAATTGAAAAGTACTCAGAACGAAGAGTGATTTCAGCAAGAGTACTTTATTTAGTGAAGAACAAGACGAAAAGCCCCGGCACGCAGGCCGGTATATATGCCCAGAAACCCACCACCAAAACACACCCACTAGTCACCCTATTGGCTATTTACAGTGGCCGAGAGTCCCATAGGCTCTCGACCGCGGACCTGGCCCTCTGGTTGGTGCGGGCTAGGATCCGCTCCGCTATTGTTCTTCAGGGACGAAGCTTTTGGCTCTGTGTGCGACCGCATGGTCCAACGGTCGCACACGTGGCCATGGTGGATACATTACAGCAACCTTCCATTATAATGAATTAGGGTAAGTCTTTGCAGCATTAGTACTGGTATTGGGATGAGTTAGCATAAAGGTTTTGTGAGAACATGTACCTAGTAAGGCATTATACAAACACTTTGCCCTAGGAATATTCTTTCAGAGAATTTCTTGCAAGTATATGCAAGTATATGCCTTCAGAAGTTGTAAAGTTGTATAAATTAATTGTGGCTAAATTATGATGATGTGTTACATTTTATTGTTACATTTTATAGAGACATCGGTGAATAATAATGACATTTTTGATACCTACTTGTTGAAATGACAGACCAAGAATCACTGTATGTAAGGTTTGGAGGGGGGGAAACTTTTTATTGAATTCTTGCATGTAATATTATTATTGCATATGATTTATTAAGGCTTTCATCCACTTTCAGAAGAAGAATAGTATCAAAACGACAGAACATTCCAGAGACCATCGTCACACCATTTTCAACTGCCTTGTGCATTTATATGATTTTTGTACACATTTTTGTATATATTTTGTGATTGTTTATTGAAATATTTTCTAGCGCAGTTACCTCACAGTTTCTTCTTTTTGCGGTCTCCACTCCTGCAGTGGCCATTTTGTGGTCACGCCCACTATTTGGTGTCAGAATTCCAAAGGTGCCCACAGGCTCAAAAGCACTTATTTTCTCCTGGGGAACCATTGCTGCCTATCTCCAGGTGAAGGCTAGAGATCCCTCAGAATTAATCATATTTTTTTCACCATTTCATCAGCCATCACATCGTCCAATAAAATCTTATATATTTTCTTTATCACTGTTTTCTGCTGTTAAAACAGTTTCTTCCAGTTTAGTTATTTTATTATTAAAACCTAGTTTCTTATCCTTCAAATATATCGATTCCAGTTGCACTTTCTTCCACCAGGATAATTGTTCTGGTAATTTCAGATTGTCTTCTTTTATCCAAAATGTCCTGGTACCTTAATGATTCTTCTCCCACATATACATTAGGTAAGGTAAATGCCTCTAAAGGTATAATCAGTCTTGATCTTTTAGTATAAAAGTTTTTACTTATAGGGTCCCAAACCTCTAATAATGCTGCTCTCAGCCAATGCTGTTTAAAATATTTTTGAGGGCCTGCTTTTTCATACCACAAAAAAGCATTCCATTCCTAGCAGTAAATCATGGCCCTCAATTTTTAAGTCTCTTATAGTAATCCATTCTTTAATCCATACTAATGCTGTAGCTCTATAATACAATAACCAGTTCAGTACTCCAAACCCTCCTCTTTCTTTTACATCATGTAGCATTTTCAATCTTATTCGTGCCCTTTTCCCTTGCCATATAAACTTAGATGTCATCTGGTCTAAGTATTTAAACAAGTTTTGATTTTGTAATATCGGAATAGTTTGAAAGAGAAACATCCATCTAGGTAAAATATTCATTTCTATTGTAGCATATAATAGAAAAAATTAATAAAAGTGTACCCTCGGGTACTTTAAAAAAAAAAATTAAAACTGCTCTCCAGATGGCAGAGATCAGTTCACCTGGAGAAAATGGCCATTTCAAGGTGGACTCTGTGTATTATATCATGCTGAGGTTGCTTTCCTCCTGCTTGGGTTTCCACTGCGGAGAAAGACTGTACTTTTCCTAGGTAGAGCCTGCAGAAAGCTGAAGTCAGAGGGGCAGATAAAGGTAGGTTGATGGTCGGCTGGGAAGGATATAGGGTTGCCAACTCCAAGTTGGGAAATTCCTGGAGATTTGAGGGGTGGAGCCTGGAGAGGGTGGGGTTTGAGGAGTGGTGGGACCTCAGACACGTATACTGCCATAGACTCCACCCTCCAAACCAGCCATTTCCTCTTGGGGAACCATTGTTGTCAATCACTAGGTGAGGGCTGGAGATCACTCAGAATTACAACTGCTCTCCAAATGGCAGAGATCAGTTCCCCTGGAGAAAATGTTGGACTCTGTGTCATTATATCCTGCTGAGGTTGCTGCAGCAAATCGATGCTGAGTGCCCAAGGCTGGGGCACCTGCTCAGAGCCTCTTTTTAGAGCTCCTTGTATTTATTTCCACAACAGGCCTTATTCCTTGGATGGATGGATGATAGATAGATATAGATATACACACATACACATATAAGTTCTGTTCTTAATTGGTTTTATGTTGTATTTTATCATGTTGTTTGTTAGCCTTTTTGTGGTCCTGTTAGTACAAAAAGGTGAGATATAAATGTTTTAAATAAAAGAAATAAATCTTAATGCATCTGCCACAGAGAAAAACACAACTACAGGCTGTTGGACATGAAACAGTAGCCCTGACCTTATGTTACAGTGAATGCACATATATCCTGCCAATATGTGCATACCTCTGTTTGTAAGTGCCAACATGCTTTCACTTTATGAATGACACTCAGGATAAATATGAGGTTTGTATCACACATTCAGCTGTACATGTGTTGACTGTAAAATGAGAATTACTCAGCACACATACTGAACAATGAAGTGTCCACTGTACATGGATTGTACATGTGTTCACTGTAACTTTTGAACAGGACTTGTGTTACGGGCCCTCCTACAGATCAATATGGAAGTGACTGAGTAGAACGTCTTCTGGAAACAACAACAACAAAGGTGACCAAATTTCTAACAGGCCAACCAAGCCCATCTGCATGGAAGGAGTGTTGGGCATACTGAACAGAAACACAAGATCATAGCGGAGAGGTGAACACATGAAGTCTCAGTATCCTGAATCAGACCATTGGTCCATCAAGGTCACTATTGTCTACTCAGACTAGCAAGGGCTCTCTCATCTTTCTCATCACCACCTACTATCTGAGCCTTTCAACTGGAGGTGCTGGGGACTGAACCTGGGACCTTCTATATGCAAAGCAGATGCTCTACCACTGAGCCATGGACCCTCGCCAAGGGAAAAATCCCCCAGAGGAGAAGCCCACCACTTCTTGGAATACAGCAATAACAGACCAAAAGGAGGTCCTTCAGGGATATGGAGCCTGTGTTTTGAAGAGTTTTAAAGGCAAAAACCAGCACCTTGAATGGAAACTGAAGCAAATGTTTTCAGCACAGGCAGAACGTATTCATACTAACTGAGTCCTTTAAGCAAATGTGCAGTCACAGTCTGTACCTATTAAATACAATGAACTGACTAACCTTAACAGCAATTTCCCTTGAGAAAGAATTTATCTTAACACTAATCAAGAAGGATATTATTTCCCCCTTCAGATCTGTTCTTGTTCTTTCTGGTAGGTCAAGCCAGATTCTGAAGCTGGAGTTTAAGTAGCTGAAATGAATATAATGGATGTCATGATATAATGGGTTGGATCCAGGCTAACTCTTCTATCAGCTGAATTGAACTTTCCTGCCTCCCCCTGCCCCCAACTGCAGCCTACTGATCACCACAAAATGCTGCTCCTGAGGAAAAGGGAGATCAGTGGAAATTTCCAATCTAGTCTGGATCCAACCCACAATTCTCTTGTTGGACAATTTTTTTTAATGCGCCATTCCTTGGAACCTTGCAAAATTAATTTGACTGGAGGTAAACATTTTAACTATGTATTTATTGCTTGGGTATCAAGAAAATTTTTGCAACTCACCACAGACACATTTGAAAATTCCAAAACCAGAAGGAAATTGGGGTTTTTGAGAAAATGCTAGATGCTGGTGAACCAACAAATGTGATGTTGCTACAATAAAAGCAATTATAATCCTCAGATTGTTGGGTGAGGCATTTCGAGGAAGGGTAAGAAAGTTCTAATATTGCTGCAGAATGAACTTGGAATCCCCTAAACCAAACTGACTTTCTAAGAGAGAAAGGAAGAACAAGTAATCATGATCAGTATGGAAATGGGGAACCAAGTGGGTATTTAATATCTCACATTGTCTGCTTGTTCAGTTGAACAACACAAATTATCCAGCAGTTCCTTTGCTTCCCCAGTCTTTCACGGTATGTTGAATGGTCCACTTTTGACCCGTACAGTTTTGCAAAACAAGTCTGAAATATGATGCCCCCTGGTCTTTCACAATTTCAAGGCATCTTTTAGTTTTTCTGTTGACTACAGCCACTCCCTAGAACAAAATGCAAATAATAATATAAAAATTATTCATTGTTGAAGTTCCACGAATATAGGCAGAAACAAAAATGTAAATTGTGACAGTTTGAATAAGTGTGTTCTAAAAAAAATCTTACATTCTGCTCTGCAGTTTTTTTATTGCATTTTAATGCATTCTTTATTTCCCATACAATGTAACATTAATCTGCATAGGGTTAAGAGTTTGAATGAATTTGTTCTAAAACAAAAACTTCTTAAAATTCTCCTCTGAAAATTTTGCTTTTGAATATATAATTTTGGTGGTGAATTATTTATTTATTTATTTATTTATTTATTTTGGGATTTATATCCCGCCCTACCCAAGCGGCCCAGGGCATGTCTTCAATATGCACCAAATATTTGACAGCTATATTTAATGTCCTTGGTTTTCAATATTTTCATGTTAACAGCCAATATTTTACAGTGTTTGATAACTGACATACAACCATACCTCAGTGGATGTCATGTTTTTGATAGCATTACTGGTTTGTAATGAAATAGTGATTTTTATTGATTCATAACCAACAGTTTTATTGATTCATAACCAACAGTTCTCCACATTGGAGAAAAGAATAACTACTTTATAATAATTAGGTTTTTGGTCATTGCTACAAAATTTTATGCTATGATTTGTTTCCGTCAGTTGCAATAGAAAACATATTTTGGGTGTAACTTTTGTTTTCCACCCATTTAGGATAAAATATTCATGATTTGGGGTGGAGTGGGGGGTTGGGCCATGGCTCAGTGGTAGGATACCTACTTTGCACTTAAAAGGCCCAGGGTTCAATCCCCAACATCTCCATGATTTTTTAAAAAAAGGATTATGTAGAAGGTAATGTAAAAACCATTAACCGAAGACCCTGGACAGCTGCTTATCAGACACAGTACAGTAGCCCAAACTGATCTTGAGCCAGTTTGGTGTAGTGGTTAAGTGTGCGGACTCTAATCTGGGAGAACCGGGTTTGATTCCCCACTCCTCCACTTGCACCTGCCGATGTGACCTTGGGTCAGTCACAAGCTCTGGCACAGCTGTCCTTGAAAAAGAGCAGTTTGTGTCACTCAGCCCCACCCACCTCACAGGGGGTCTGTTGTGGGGAGGGGAAGGGAGAGGAGTTTGTAAGCCGCTCTGAGACTCCAAGTGAAGGGCGGGGTATAAATCCAATCTCTTCTTCTTCTTGATCAATAGTCTGACTCCATATAAGACAGCTCTATGTGTTCACATGGATTATGCCCCTCCCAGGGCTCTTTTTGTAGCAGAAACTCCTTTGCATATTAGGCGACACATCCCTAATGTAGCCAATCCCCCAAGAGCTTACAGAGCGGGTTACTGTAAGTTCTTGGAGGATTGGCTACATTAGGGGTGTGTCGCCTAATATGCAAAGGAATTCCTGCTACAAAAAGAGCCCTGCGGCCCTCACCAATGGGGTTCTGCTTGACAAATTTCAGGCAAATAAGAGATAATATCCTCCATCTTATCAGGATGGACTTCTCAGGGACCGTACCCATCACCCAAAGGATCCTCCCTGCCAAATTGCTGGCAAACAGGAGATAATATCCCCCTTCCTATCAGAATGAACTTCTCAGGGACCATAGCCCTCACCCAAAGGATCCCCCCTGCCAAATTTCTTGCAAATGGGAGAAAACAGCCCCGTTCCAATAATGATGAACTTTTCAGAGGTTGTAGTACTCAGCATACCTGCCATAAAGAGGTGAAAACAGAGAGATCATGGCTCAAACAAATGGTTATGCTTGATTACCTTGAACCATAACACACAATCCATTGCAGACTAAATGACACTCTCTCTGAGGTTATCTGAGGTTGCTAAAGGGTTTTTTGTTGCTGTTTTCATGTTATGGCTGGATTTTAATGGCATTTTTTCATGCATTATAATTTCATCTTTTTTTTTTGTAAGCCACCTCAAGCAGGTTTTTGAGGCAGCATATTGCACTTGAAAAATCCAGCTCTGCAAGTATTAAGACAGCTGTTAATTTGCTAGGCCTCAATCTGTAATTCTGCACAATAGCTGTAATTGTTTTTTATGCTGTAATTTCAGAGAGTAGAAGGGAAAAACCTCTATGTTCAAGCTTCATTTCAGTACACGAATCACTGCTAAGGGCGAACTGAACATGGCATGCCAAAGAGCCCAAAAAGAACTCCAAAAAAGAGCTCTGAACTGTCGGCAGAGTAATTAACACAGCAACAGTGCACAACATGATTAAAGGGTAAAGGTAAAGGTTCCCTTCCAACTCTAGGGTTGCGGTGCTCATCTCCGTTTCAAAGCCGAAGAGCCAGCGCTGTCCGAAGACGTTTCCGTGGTCATGTGGCCGGCATGACTAAACACCAAGGTGCATGGAACGCTGTTACCTTCCCACCGAAGTGGTACCTATTTATCTACTTGGAATTTCTTGCTTTCGAACTGCTAGGTTGGCAGGAGCTGGAACTAGAGATGGGAGCTCACTCCATCATGCGGCACCTGGGTTTCGTACTGCTGAACTACTGACCTTCCACAGCCTGCAGTTCAGCATCTTAACCACTTGAGCCACCGCAGCTCCTTGATTAAAGGGTAGATAAAGGTTTATTTAGGAACTAATATACTTGATAGTAAAGAGAGACAGAGATCAGTTCCTAACTACATCTCTAGCTGCGAGAAAGAGACAGACTAAGTGTGAACCTCCGGGAAGAAGGAGGAAATTGCCCTAAGAGTAGCAAGCTGGAGATAGACAAGGAATGGCCCTGCTGTCCCCTGCAGGGTTGTCTCTTCTTCTTTGTACACCAGACATTGTCAAGGGCTATAAATGTTGCTTGCTTTGCATCTGCCATTATATAAATGTTGCTTGCTTTGCATCTACCCCAAATCATTCTCAAGTGTGGTATTGGTGTTTCATAATACCATGCCACAGTAATGGATTGTATTATAGTAATAATATATTGGATAATTTAATATGCAGCGCTATTTTGCACATGGCTGTATTTGATAAAGGTAGTATATGATGTCTGCCAAAAAGTCTAAAGCCTATGAATTTCAATTTTTCAGGAAATATTTCACATCCAAAAGTGCAGATTCAAAATTCAGAGCTCAAAATAGTTTATATTAATTCTTTGTTTTTGTGGATTGCTAGTCGATGATTTGACTGAATTGTTTTTGAGCTTTGGACAAGAAAAGTGGCATAGAAATGTTTTGAATTATTTCACAGTTGAAAAATGAGCAGCAAAATTGGAAAACTCATTGGCTTTTGAATATATCACTCCTAAACATAATCAAGAGAAGAGAAGAAGAGATTGGATTTATACCCCGCCCTTCACTACCCAAAGGAGTCTCAGAGTGGCTTACAAACTCCTTCCCCTTCCCCTCCCCACAGCAGACCCTGTGAGGTAGGTGGGGCTGAGAGAGCTTTTTGAGAACTGCCCGTGAGAGAACAGTTCTGAAAGAACTTATGTCTGACCCAAGGTCACACCAGCAGCTGCATGTGGAGGAGTGGGGAAATCAAACCCGGTTCTCTCCGATTAGAGTCCATGCTCCTAGCCACTACACCAAACTGGATACAGATGTTAATCCACTGCTGCTAGATTAACCACATCGGTATCCCTAATGTAGAAAACTATACCAGTTTGCTAATTATTAATCTTGCCCTGACCTGGATAACCTAGGCTTGCCTGTCACGGCAGATCTTGGCAGCTAAGTGGGGTCAGCCCTGGCTAGTATTTGGAGGGAGGCCACCAAGGGATACCTGGGGCAGCCACGTGAAGGCAGGCAATGGCAGAACCACCTCTGAACGTCTCTTGCTCTGAAAATCGTACAGGATCATCATAAGTCAGCTGTGACTTGATGGCACTTTCCACCCCCAATTCTCGCAATGGCAGATGCAAAGCAAGCAACATTTATAGGGCATCCAGGCACCTTTGTCTCAGAATTTTCTGATCCAGAGAATCACAAGGCAGCTTGCTAAGAAAAGACAACCTAAGAAATGCATGTCCTAAATGTTTGTTCTTTTTGAATTATGTCAGACTACCAACTGAATGGCCTGTGCTCTCAGACCATGTTGCCAACTGACTGTCAGATGCCCACCATCATTCTATTGTGCTAGCACTTTATGTATTGTTTTAGATCTATTTTATTGCAATTTTATTAATTTAACTGTTTTATCTTGTTATAATATTAAGTAAGCCATGCTGAGCCTGTTCCGGTGGGGGGTGGGTGGGATATAAATTAAATAAAGTAAAAAAACAAAGACACTGTGGAGCAACATTCCCTCTAAGCTGTGGAGTCTTGTGAGCAAAACTTCTACGTTGTGAACTACTGGCATTAAAGTTGTGAGCGAGTGATTTGGCTGCTGCATAAATTAGTTTGCTCTGGAGCTACCCTTCCTGACCTAAGACACAAATGTGTGAGCCGGAGGCTAAAAAACTGTGAGCTGGCTCACTGTAACTCAGCTTAGACGGAACACTGCTGTGGCGTATAGAACCTTACCTGTCTGAAATCCCAGTGCATGCTTAGGCCCTTCTTAATAGCCTCATTGCATTCCTCTAGAAAGGGCACCTCTTCTTGGCCTGTATCAACCAAGCATCGATCAACCGCATTGCGCCGAGCTTGTAAATTTCCCACATAGATCTCTCCGGTGCTATGATAGAACACATGCTGGCAGAGAAGATTACAGGGCATTTTAGTAACATCTTTGTTAACCTGACACCATTGTCAGCCAGCAGTGTGTAATAGTATCCAGTACACAAAACCAGATTCATCACGAAAACCAAGGTAATGCTTCAGTGGAGCTGGGCTTTTTGAACTCTGTCTATTGCTAATCCACCCTTTGATTGATTGCTTTTGAAATTTGGACAGAGACTTAGACATGATGGGTTGGATTCCATAGGATCTGTCTTGCTGAGGGAGGTGCTTTTCCCCAGCAGAAAGGCTGGCGTAAGATGCTCTAAGAAAGTGACAGAAGAAAGCTCTTCTGCTTAAAAAATGGGGGAGAGCACAAGAATATGTAGGGCTGTGATCACACACCTTAAATAATCGATGCAAGTCTAACTAGGAGAATTTCTCACATTATTTCCGGAACTGAAGCATGGAGCGAGTTGTACTTCTGTTAGTTCACTGACATTCCCCCCTTGCTTCTGCACAAGTATACTATGATAAACATTGTAAAAAAAACAACAACCAGACTTGGGCAGTCATATGTATGATTCCATCAAGACTCATATTGCGCAGTACTTTATTGAAACACCAGTGACCTTCTGCACACTGATAAAACACCGCACAAAAAAGAATCTTGATACAACCATATGTACAACCAACATAAAGCTTGCTTTATTTGGAGTATTTTAAGAATGTGCATGGGAGTGAAAAGGATGCCAGTGAACACAGAGAACTGAAAAAATGTGCATCATTTCCACATGAGGAATATCAGACCTGGCAATCTGGAACTCCAAAATCTGGTGAGAAATTTAGAAGAATTAATGGAGCCCCCCCCCCCCCCGCATCTGGTTACTGTCATGATAGAGGGGCCTGTCTGTACCTCATACAGAGAGATCTACTTGCCCTGCTCTACCAAAGGGCTACAAGAACAAGCCACTTTTAAATTAGGACCATGAAGAGACTTTGCCTCTAGCATTCGCTCCACATTTTCTCAACTGGGAGGGGAAAGTGCAGCTCAAAACCACATTCAAATACCTTGGGGCAATGCTGTACTGAACAGCCATAAAGCAGTCATAAATCTATGCAGAAGGTACCATAAAATCCGATGATTAAAGAAAGTGAAAGTGGCATGGAGTGTGGAGGCTACCATAAAATCCGATGTTCAAAGGAAGTGAAAGCAGCATGCAATGCAGAGGGGAATATCTGTTCCAATGTGGGTTTCGTAAAACAACAGAGGGAAAAGCCAATGCAGAATCAGCCTTTGTGAGAGACCTGAGAGAAAGTGAGCCACTGGATCCCTCTATGTGATATGTAGACTCCCCCCCCCCAAAAAAGTAACAGCTAGATACTTTGTTGAGCCCTCAGCAGAACACAACTCAAATGATGTTGTAGATCTGCAGACTGCATGACTGGAGATCTTCACTGGAAATAGATTTAGTTTTAATTAGAAATGTTGAAACAGCAGTTATTACTTTTAGAAAATGGTTACCGTCTTCAGCGCTTAGTGAAAGAACCCAGCAGAAGCAAAACCAAAACAGTACTGATCTTAAAATTACCTGTGGGCCGTATCCATGACAGCCATACATTATGGGAGTATTTCCAGGCACTGGGCCTTGATCTATGCAGATGTCCTCGCTTAATGTGTTTTTCATCTGTGAGGTAAAGGAAATTTGCTAAAAGACTGGCTTTACAACTATTAACGGGAAACAAAGTGAAAAACAATGAAATGCAGAACACCTTAAGAAACTGATCTCCTCCTTGCCAAGATGAGTAACTCAAATCACTAACATGCTGAGACTGTTACAAGGCCAATGAATGGCCATTGAATATAAAAGACTCCCTCAAAGACAGACAGGGTAAATTGATCTTCTTAAGGTCTGACAACCCAACTACAAGGCTTTGCTGAACACACAAGACCCTCCACCACATTCATTCAGATTTTGTTTTTTAGTATTTTGTGTGTGTGAGAGAGAGAGAGTGTGTGCGTGCTTGCGTGCCTGGAAGTCGTGGTGACTTCTGGTGACCCCTACTGGGGCTTGAACATTTTCAGTTGCCTGCCTCAGCATCCCAGCCCTGGTATTCCTTTGGAGTTCTCCCATCCAAGTACTTTCCAGGGTCATCCCTGCTTAGCTTCCAAGATTTGTCGAGATCGAGCTTGCCTGGGCTATCCAGGCCCAGGCCATGTTCATTCAGATCTGGAAGTTGGTGCATCTTCGTCAAGCTACTGATTAAGTAAAAGAAGCAAGGGAATCTGAATTTGATTGCCTTTGTATTATAAATTTTAATTTGGAGCGGCGTATATGGCTTTCACATTTCCCCCCCAAAGGTTCTGTCTTTAAGTCCCTAGGGTCATAGGATTGCCAACCTCTCAGAATTATAGGTAAAGGTTTCCCTTTTTTGAAAGCCAGTTGAATCCAACTCTAGGGATGTGGTGGTGCTCATCTCTGTTTCCAAGCCGAAGAGCCAGCACTGTCCAAAGACGTTTCCGTGGTCATGTGGCCGGCATGACTAGACGCCAAGGCGCATGAAATGCTGTTACCTTCCCACCAAAGTGGTACCTATTTATCTACTTGCAATTTCTTGCCAGTTCCCCTGGAGCAAACGGTTTTTGCAGATCCTGTGATATTATACCCTACTGAGATCCCTCCCCTCCCCAGACTCCAGCATCCCAGACCACCCCCAGATCTCCACGCATTTCCCGACCTGGACCTAGCAACCCCAGGACATCACCATCCCAAGCTCCAGCAATTTGTTATTTTTCTAGTCAACAAGCCATTGAGTTCTCCATTATACGCAGAGATATAAGACCACGGGTCTACCCCCACACACTACAAACAAATACCCATTTTACACTGAATTGACTATTTTGGTTTCTTCCAAAGCCATCCTAGGAGTTGCAGTTTGGTGAGGGTAATCAGAAACCTGGTGGAGATTCTTCAACTTTCCTCACAGTACTTGGTCTCCAGGGTTTGATGTGGAAAGGCAAGGTATATTAAGCAGAAAGTTGAGGTACATAGTATAAAATGCCTAATGTGTATAAGATGCTAAAAGTCTTCATTTTCACTTGCTAGGCATGTTGTGGAGGTGGACGGGACCCTTCCAGAATGGGGTGGGGGGTAACGATCTTCTATAAAAGTGATTCAGGTGAGAGATATATCTGATTTTCAAGTGCATATTGTGATGAGAGAACATGTCCTCTCCTATGAACACCCCCTTGACACACATGCCCCACATTAGGATCAACAAGGGGTTCCCTGCTTTGAGTCCCTTAATTCAGGACCAAAGCAGACATCACATACAAATATGTGTAAAATCACACTAATGGCCTTTTTAAAGAGGAAAAACTTCTTATTGGAATGGCAGTTAGAAGGGAGGGAAGGGGAGGTCTGTATGGAAGTGTTTGATCATCCACAATGAATACTTAATTTGGCCTGGTGAAGAGGCCCTTCAGTTTCTGCCCCTGCTCTCACAGGATCCCTTCCCCATGGATAGTCACATGATTAACCCTGTTTGATTAATCTTTAAAAATCCAGATTTTCCTTTATGGGGTAGCTCTAAATAAGTACAAGTTAATTACTTGCTTGAGAAATGCTCATGTCTACTTACTGTTCCATAGGCCACAATGTTAGTCTGAGGTACTAAATTAGGATACACATTTTTTATATACCAATCAAAGCTTTTACAATTCAGTTTCTTCCTTAGTTCTTTTCTTGCAGAAACATCTCCAAAGTCTACTTCAGGATTCTGGGGGGGGAAGTATGAAATCAAGCATATTACATTTGGTGCAAAATAACTTGATGTGGTTGAATACAGACATTTAAAATTCTACTTGGTCAGACTTAAAGAAAAAGCATAATAATTTTTTAAAGGAGCTCTGAGGAGCTTACAGTTGGCCTTCCAACCAGACCAAATAGTCGACCATATCCCATTCCTACTTAGCCTTAACAATACTATCACATCAGGTACTTCCAAATGGGGTTTCCAGGTTTCCCACTATGGGGGAAGTCCTCCCAGTTCCACTGGCAACCCCAACTCCCACCTGTGCTCTGGAAATGAAGAAAAATATCACCATCAGCACAATAGCATTATGTCACTTCAGGGTTGCCAAATTTGAGGTGGTTGCATCAATACACAAACACTCCATGTATAACTTACGAACCGAAGTAGAAAGAATATTTGATCCAAATCAATTTCAACAGTTCCAATACTTATCAAGTTCAACACACACTCTTATATTTTCTTAAAGGGTTAGGATCTAACAGTACTTAATACAAAGGACAAATTCCAAATAAAGTCCACTAATCCTTTGTATGAGATGCTTCAGGAGAACAAAAGTTCTACAGGAAAACAAAAGTTCCACGTTTGTAGGAGTAGCCGCTATGCACGGCTGGCTTCAATGATGTGTTCATTTCCTGCTTCTTCAGATAACTGGTACTCTTTAGCTGAGGTGGTGGCTGGAGATCTCCTGGGATTACAAACTGATCTCCAGGAGACAGAGATCAGTTCACTGGAGAACATGTCTGCTTTGAAAGGAGGACTCTATGGTATTATACCACACACTGAAGTCCCTCCCCAAACTCCACCATCCTCAGGCTCCACCCCCCAAATCTCCAGGTATTTCCCAAGCTGGAGCTGGTTCCCATCTGGCTCCCGTCTGGGAGCTCCTAAGAAGGAAAATATTCAGGCAAATTAACTTTCAGTTATTCAGGTCTCATACTTATGTATTAATTAAAAATAATGTCAGCCAGTAACCTCCAAGGGAATATTCCAGGCGTAGTAGACCATATATTTGTACTCATCCATCCACACTTCCGCTACACGCAATGCATTCCGTTTCATAGCAGGGAACAGATCCAGCAAGTAGGGTTTGTGAGCTCTTTCGAGGTGGCCGACCCTTGAACACGGCAAGACTTCAATTTTCCCTCCACACTGCCAAGTCTGCAGCCAAAAAGAAAAGGGCTTCATAAAATCAGTGCTTACGCAGAGTCTCCAGTCTGATAGCCAGTGCAAACTGTGCTAACAAACTTTGATAAGGGTAAAACAATTTTTTTAAAAAAAGCCATCAACAGAAGGATTCCAGCTGAACACCTGGAGGTGTGACACATTCCTCTCGCAAGGGGTACATTTCTTTGAACCCATTTAATTAATTAATTTTATTTAGTGAACTGGATGCTGCCTCTGGAGACACCTTCTTGAGGCAGCTAACATTAAAACAGCAAAACAATTGAAAATTCAAATCAAACAACCAATCAGAGTAAACGACACAATAAAATAAACAAAAAAATCCCACTCTTGGCAGTTATAAAGCCAAAATCATTGAAAATTTATAGCACTGTGGCAGAATGGGTCTGCTCTGGCTTGCAGGCCCTGTTCCACCCTGCCTGCCAAGGTTTTTCCAATACCTGGAGAGGCTTTTCTCTCTTTCCATTAAGCCATCACCACCACCTGACCTTTGCAGGAATTACCTAGCTTCCCTTTCAAATTCTGAGGCCTTGCCTCTGTGTCTCATGCTGCCCAGCGCCTGGTCACCACTGGGACAGTTTACTGCCTTGTGCGCTCCCTGGAGGAATAGCCCCTTGCCAACTGACTGCCTTCCCCCTAGCACTCATTTTAAAATGCATGTCTTAAAGGGTTAGGATCTAACAGTACTTAATACAAAGGACAAATTCCAAATAAAGTCCACTAATCCTTTGTATGAGATGCTTCAGGAGAACAAAAGTTCTACAGGAAAACAAAAGTTCCACGTTTGTAGGAGTAGCCGCTATGCACTACCAGCACCCAAAGTTATGAAGTATTTATTAAAAAGAAAATGTTCACAAACATACTTTTAGCCCAGCACCAGATTGAGCAAGGGATTAAAAAGAAATGGGTAAAACACAATTCCCCTGTCGCTATCTCTATACATGCCCTATCAGATGTTAAAATATAGGACAGGCTCCTTTTCCTTAGGAAGTTACAGATCTCTACAGAGTTACCTATACCTTGAAGCTTTTTCCAGCTCTTTAGGCCAGCACATGGTCAATGGCTGCTTCCTCAGTCGAGAGTTGGCTGCTCTCATGGACTCACCATCCCAAAGAAAGAGAGCTTTCTCCTTGCTCCCCTAAGTTTTATCACCTCTCATTGACCTTGTCAGGCCAGGTCCGGGAAGCTTTTCCTGACATCTCCAGAAATTTCTTCCTGGAGTCCTTCTAGTCTTAATATCTTCAAATCTCTGTTCCCTGCTGGGGGGGGGGCCTTGACCATCCCATTGTCTAGACCTATTAGCATTTATATGAAGATGGGCTGAGGCAAATCTGGGAAGCAATAGAATTGACCTCCTCCCTTCCTGCCTGTTCTCTGCCCAGAGGAAAAAAACTTTTAAAACTCAATGAAGGTTTTGCTCATTTCAAACCTCCAAAGAAAAAATGTATTTCTTCACAAGCACTATAAAACAACAATAAAAATGCGTGGTAAAAACATCAGCAGGTCATAAAATAAGAACATAGATGGGATAAAACTTCACTGAAAAGCCTGAGTGAACAGGAATGGCTTCAGCCAGGCACCTCCAGCACTGCAGATTCAGTGGCAGGGGAGCCTCAATGGGGAGGACGCTCCAAAGACAGGGTGCCATCACTGAGAAAGCCCTGTCTTCAGTTGCCATCCACCTTACCCAGCCACAAGCAGGGCATAGAGAGCAGGGATTGAGATGGGGAGCTTAACTGATCATACAGGAAAAGGCAGTTCTGCAGCCAACACAGTTGGCTGAGGCATGTAAGCCAATCTCCTGAGCTGGTTCATTTTTCAAACTTCACTCAAGATGGATGGGGGGGGGGTCTTAGCCAATGGGAAACAAGGGCAGCTGCTCTGGTCCCTGCAACTGTGGAGTCCCAACTGCCTCACACACACACACCCTAAAGGAGAGTGGGAAAGAAATGCAGGTTCATGCCACCGTGTCTGGGGGGAGGTGGCCTCACTGCTGAACTCACCTGCTCCAGAAGAGACTCCTCCAATAGGGGACAGCCTTACTCTGATGCCCCTGAGACAGGCAGTCCACCAAAAGGCTGTGCAGAAGAGGCCCCACCTGGAAATGCACCACCAGCAGCTTCAAAGCCTGGAAGCTCTGGCACATGCCTCAGAAGGGAGATGGGACTCAGGCAGCAGGCTACGCCTGGCAACAGGCCAGAGGAGGAAGCCAGTTGCAAGGGGCTGTCTGGAGCCAGTGCAGGCAGGTAAAGCAGCCTCAAATCTCAGGGGAGGGTGAAGCAAGAGAGGGGAAGGCCCAGCCAGGGAGGCCAGAAGACCAGATTCCATTCCATTACCATGAGCCCATCACTGAAGGGAGGGCACTGTGGGGATCCAGGGTAGGTTGCCAATCCCCAGTTGGGGGCAGGGAATCCCCTGGTTTGGAGGTCCCCCCCTCAGGGTTATCAGAAAGCGGGGGGGGGGAATATTCAGTGGGTGCTCCATTATACACTATGGAAACCATTGGGTATAATGGAGAATCCGTCCATGGATATCTGGGGCTCAAGGAGGGCTATTTTTTTGAGGCAGAGGCACCAAATTTTCAGCATAACATCTGATGCCTCTCTTCAAAAAATTGGCCAGGTTTCACAAGATTTGACCAGGGGGTCAAATTTTATGAGCTCCAAAAGAAGGTGCTTTCATCCTCCATGATTTCCAATGGAGGGAAGGCATTTAAAAGCAATGAGGTCCCTTTAAATGTGACAGCCAGAACTCCCTTTGGAGTTCAGTGGCGCTTTCCCTCTCCCCTCTCCTGGAGGCTCCTGGAAAGTCCCCCACCAGCTTGTCAGCCTCACCTGGCAACCCTAATCCAAGGTCAGCCTAACACCAAACAAGCCTAAATTAGGCCAGCCCAGGGAAGGCCATGGAGGAATGGCCACATCAGTCAAGGAGAGGTTGCTGGCCAGAGAAAAAGGGTCTAAAGGTGTTGCCACCACCCTCCTCTAAATCCTGAGACCCTTCCTGGGGCACACCTGACTGAAAGGAGGACCCGGGGGGATGGCAGCTGTACTCCTCTGGAAGCTGTGTATTTTTATAATCTAGTTCAACATTTAAGCAATCAGCATATTTACAGTTATAGCTGTTAATTGTGTGAGATTTTGTAAGTACTGTCCCTTTAATTTTCTTGGCATCATCAGTGCAGCGATGTTTTATTAGAGTGGCCATTCTGGTTTGTTCCTACGGAGAACTGGAGAAAAGCTAGCCCCCCCCCCCGCCCCCCGGATACTATGTGAAGTATATTGTGTTATATTGTATTTGTAATTTAGTTCCAGGAGAAATAATTTGCCTGAAAAAGAATTTCTTGAAACACGCAACTTTTGCCTGGAAGGCGTGTTGCATGGTGTTTGCTGCATCTCTTTTCTGAAAGCAAGACAGCCTCCAGCATTGAATCCTGTCGGCATATCTGTCTCTGTAGCTGTGGACATTCCTACAAGATTCATATGGTCCTATTCATTTGTATATCTTTATGTCATTGTTATCAGTGCACTATAATTATTAGGTTGCACTCGGATTTAATTGAATAATGAAGTTATAGTAGCATATCAGAACTGTGTGTTTTGTTTAAACACGGTGGTTTTCCACGTTTACCCCACCTGGAGTCTGGCAACCCTATTAACAGTAGCTTCTGGGCTTGGCACTGATGTATCCTGAATAAACCTTTCTTCCAGGTGAGTGTGATTTGCCTACATGAAATAAAACCAACCAGGAGAAAAGGTTACAGCCCGTTCTATACCATGCTTACATATACAGCAGTCCTTTCTTTCTAACTTTGTGGGTTACAAGCGGCTGTGGGTGGTGTACAGAGGAGTGGAGAACCCAAGCATGCAGTCCCTCTATAGCAGGGATGGCCAAACTTGCTTAACGTAACACCCACACAGAATAAACATCAAATGTTTGAGAGCTGCAAGGCATCTCCCTTCTAAATAAAAGCCGAATGGTGGTGGCACTTCTCTAGAACATTCCACACCTCCAAAATCAGTTCGCTCTCTGATCTGTCATTCAGAGGGTCTCCCTATCCACTGGCTGCTTTGCCTGAGTCCTGCCTCCAACATTCTAAACATTTTGCTGTTCCTCTCCCCCCCATAGCCAGTCAGAACACAGAGGTTATTTGCATATGCAGCCTCATTGACCTTTGCCTCGGAACACAGAGGTCGCCCACCCAAGCCAGTCCAGGGATGAGAGGTAACCCTGTACTTTTACAGTACATTAAACAACAAACCCAAAGGTAGGCTATACCCTCTCAGGTTTTCAGAACAATATGCCACCAGAAGCTCATCAACTGGGGTCCCCCGCTCAGCCTAAGAGCAGAGGTTCAAACTCTTAGCTGGCCTCTGGGACTTAATGTTGTGTATGCTGACCGCCACCGGGGGCCAGCGAACAGCCAGAGCTTGACTCTGGAAGGACAATAGGGACTAGGCTCCTAGTCCCTCCACTGGGGAGCCAATGGGAACCGTGGCGGGAGATTCAAACCCACCAATGGTGACCAGGGGTGTGTCCCCAGGGATGTATATAGTTAGCCCCAGGGCCGTTGTTCACGGTTCTTGTTGTGTACCTAATAAAGCGTGCTATACACTACGTCGTTGTCTGTCGTCCATCCATGCGGCTACCCACTACATAACAGTGGCGACGAAGGTGGGATACAGCCGCAACTGAGCCGGGCCGTCACGAGGGACCGAGAGAACGCGAAGCAGCAGCGATCCGATGAGTGATCCAGCCGGTGAGACCACTTCTCTCCCACCCCTCGCTCCGACGCGCACGATGGCAACCGCTCCAGGGCTAGGGCTGCTTCCGCCCTTCAACATAGCCCATCCGCAAGACTGGGCCTCCTGGGTCCAAGGCGCCAAGTCCGCGCTGGAATTTTTTGATGTCACAGAATGAGGGCAAGAAGAGGGGATTCCTCCTGGCCTCCTGTGGCATCGCCGTGGTGTCCCTGGCCG